TAATATATATATAATATATATATATATATATATATATATATATATATATATATATATATATATAATGCAAATATTTTTTATACCTTTTGATGATAAAGGTTAAAAATTGCGGATGTAAACGTAATAAAGATGCCCCCTGTAAGAGCTGGAATCATTCTTAGGTTGTTGATTAACACTGTGTAAAACAAATAGCTATAAACAAACCAGACTGTCAAAAAATATAAGACACATAAATATCCAATCCATTGATTTTTTGGTTTTGATTGTTTAATGGGGTAAAAACGTAAACCCACAATAAAAGATAGAATGAAAAGAGGTCTAAAGGCTTGTTGAATAGTGATCACCATAACAATTACTATCTCAAACTAGTATAGACTGATACTTTTATAAATTTACTTGAGGAGCGCATAATAATTGGATTAATTCATAGTAATAATGGAATTTTAATGAGTTTTGTAATTGGCCTCACTTATGCATATTAAAAAAATCGATTTGCTTGACAAACAAAGAAAATGATTAATCAGTGAACCTGTTATGTTATAATTTATGAAGATAATGCTGTTAATTTATTTCTTATACATTTAGATAGCTAATACATTCCATGTTATTTTTATCATTATAAGACACACAAGCTCGTGCTACACGCGCCATTGATTCTCTTAATTACAAAGAAATAAAATATGTACAACTGTCAAAAACTTCACAATGACAGCCGCTCACGATATAAACTGCACCGAAAAAATCAAACAGCATCGCGGAAAAACGATAACATTGAACTTCGATACTATCGAGATATCAGATAACAGGCCTTTTTTTAAAGTGGATTGTTCTGTACAACGCAGAAAACAAAAAGAGGGAATTGTAGAAAAAAAGAAATAAAAATAATTTTATTGATATAAAATTTATTACGCCTAAAATAGATATGTGTACTACATTTTTTTGTTAAGAATTTATTAAGATTATTTGCATTTTATTATAATAGCATATAATTATAAAATAACTTTTTAGCATATAATTCAAAATAACTTGTAAAGCATTTGTTGCCAAAAATTATAAGAATTCTTATATTTCATAACACTATATTTTTTTTAAAACAATAAACACAGTTTTTATAAATTATTATATTAGCATTATGTGTGTATCTACGAATTATTAAAATAAATTATTTAATCAGAATTACAATATATGTTTTCAACTTCTCTCTGCCAGAGCGCTTACAAATCTGAATCTTCGATTGACATCATTTCCATAATTACTGCGGCATAAATTTGCGCAAGAATGATAATACTTGTTAAAATCGTTATGGTAAACTGGAAAAATTTATCAATTATCTATTATTCAGTACAAAGACAGCACCTTATTTAAACATATTATAAAATATGAATTAAAAATTAAAAAATGCTTTATAACATATAATACATAAAAAAACATAGTAATATTCATTTGGTAATAAAGTCCAAGTTTAAAAAACTACTACAAAAACTTTATACTTTGTTTAATAGTCCTTAAAGTCTATAATTTTATTTAAAATGTGATAAAAATAGAATAATTTAAAATCTAATGCAAATAGGAACCTTTCGAAAAAACTTATTGCCAAAATAGAAGAGACCAATTCCATTGAACCTCAAGGAATATCGCATTGTTTGTAACGTAAATTGATGAATCTGTATGTAAATAATCATTTCTAAGCTTTAATTTTTTTTTTTAATTATGTTTTGGTAGTGTAAAAATATTTTTTACCTCTTTTGAAACGTCATTATATCGAAGAATATCTACCAATTGATGAATTATTTTGTCAATATTGTTGGCCTACAAAACATCATAAAATTTGATATTACTGATATAATACATATACTTTTGATGTTTATATTTCTTACCTTAAATGTGACAGTTTCGCATATATAATTTACACTGCAAAATCTTACTAAAAATATGAAAGTCCAGCAGAGAACTCGAAACTGAATAGAAAAAAATTCTCGATATTTAATTATTATCATTACACATAAGAAAAAACACATTAGTGGTAGATGAGTAACATAAAATATCACTTCAGAAGTAAGTTGCATTCCAAATATCATATGTAAATTGCGAGATATATGACATAATTCCAAATGAAGATGCCTGTCGAAAAACATATTTTTATTATTAAAAATCACGGATTAAACGGGATATTATAATAATTTACGATCTTTAATTCTTATAATAACTAATTTTTGAATTTCAAAAATAATACATTTATATCATTATTTATATCATTATTAGATTAGCTCTAAATCAATAATCTATTAAAATATATGCATGTGCCAATTTACATTGAAGTCCATATTGTTCGCTTGTAATTATTAATATGTAAAGAATATTTATGCACAATTACAGATTTTTTCCATGTACATCTCAATCCATGTTCCATTTTTTCTAACAAGCTTTGCATATGTTCGCTTACTTTATCAAATCTGCTACCAATATATCTGTATTTAAAAAACATAACTAATTTATAAAAATATATAATTATATGTTTGGTAACTTATCAAACGTGTATAAATAATTACTATTATTAAATACTTTTATACTCACCGTAGAAACAATATAAACAACAAATCTATGAATGCGTTGATATGATGATAATAATATGTTATATTAAATGTAATAATATCCCAAGGAAACATCATATCATTCATATACCACTGTAATATTATTTCACAAATAAATACGGTAAAAATATATATAATCCAATAAATTATCACTCGTTTTGACTGCATATACATTTTCCGATACATTTTTGGAGTGCCAAGTTCTTCTAAAGTATCATCCACTTTAGCAAGTCTTTTCATAAGTATTTCAAATCTCTAAAACAATGCCAATTAA